CTTAGCTTCCAGACATTGTCTTCACAGGTCCCAGATTGTAGCATTATAGTCTCTCCTCAAGTTTCTGTTTACATCTGAGGCTCCCCTGTAGACAGCGTTAGGCACAAATATATTACAACTAAACATTATGTTGTTCTGACATTGATATATGGACATAGTATTTTCTTTAGGTTGGATATAAAGGCCTGAAACACATGACACTTAACTCCTCTCTTTCACCTTCATAAGGCTGAAAGAAAGGGTGCTCTTAATTATTTTCCTAATTTCATAAATGTGATCTTTCTCCTCAATCATGTAAATATATCAGTAAAGAGCTGCATCTTTTGAGGAGCCAGACATCTAAAATTTTTCTAGTTACCACTGGTCAATGAGATTGGAAGCAGGAATCAGTGTAAAACCAAATTATGATTCAACCTGATACAGTGACTAAAGTAATTCAGAGGCAAGAGTAAGTAAGGATGCAGGCAGAGAAGAGGACTAGAACAATATAGGCAAGACACAGAATTTGGAGGAGGTGCACAGGTCATGACAGACTGTTTCAACCTGGTGTTTGCATAAAAGAAGCAAAGCTAAAAAAAGGAAACTAAAGTTCTGACAAAAATGTAAAATATTGCAAAGAATGTGGAGAACAATACATTAACTATAAAATAGAGATGAAATGTATGGAAATAATTGAAGCAGCAGACTAATGGTTCCTGATTCAGCAAAACAGCTACAGACTGAAGTTTAAGTGTTCTCTTCATTCCCACAGAAGCTAAATCCATGATTAAAATCCTGCCCATGCTTATGTGCTGAATTAATCCTATAGTAGTCATAGTCTCCTCCTTCAGCTTTCACTGAGCCATAGGATTCACTGCATCCAGGGAATTTAGACTGCTCACTACTTCAAAATACTGCTTTTATTTAAGAGCACCAAACCCATAGTTACAAGACACAATTTGTCTTTAACGTTTTTTCTAACTGTTTTTACTTGAAGGATCTTAATAGTACTGGGCATTGATCCAATAAACATGAACTCGTTCAAGGGTAAAAGACAGTATGAGATCCTCCCTAATATTTTCCTTCTCTGTGTCACCATGTTTAAATAAGCAAAAAATAGCTTAATTTTTTCCCCAGCATCCCTGAATTGTTTCACATATACAATGCAGTAAAAATGTAAAAGAAAGTTGTTCTTGGAATTTATGCTACAATTTTTCCCTGATAATGGCTTTAGGCACAGTAAAATTAACAGATGTTTCTTACCAAAATAACCCAGAACTAAATGTTAAGTGTTTATTCTCTATTAAAAACACAAACCAATCAGCAACCAGGTAAGTTTAGAGTGTCAAATAAATGTGCTTTATGTACAATCACGAGGCTGCTATCTGAAGTGAATTAAAAATTAATCTTAGGTAGATATATCATGGTGGTTTTGTAAATGTGTTTCTGAGGATGAGATTAATTACATCCATTGATGTGAAAAATATACAATCAATGCCCATTTTCCTTTCTAAAAGGATGAGATCAAATCCATTCTGCAACTGGGGCTTTGATGTTAGTCTTAAAAAAATCAGCGTAATAGGCAATTAAAACAGGAACAAAGAAAAAATGAAAACAAAGAGAGGAGTAGAAGGATTTTCGCTGAAAGCTATAACAAAACCTAGAAATCCCAAATGAGATGAAAATGAGTAGCCAAGAGCAACAAAAGCCAGCTCCTAAGGCCTAGATCCTGCAGTCTTTTAGCACCACACATTTAGCTAACGCCACAGAGCATACTGCAGGATTCTGGAAGTGTTTGCAAGATCAGGCACCAACTGTTCAGCTTGGCTGTAGGTTAGTAGTAACAACAGTTAATAAAATAACATTCAAAATATCATGTAAACTCCTGAAGCTCCAGAGATGTTTCCATTGTGTAGAACTCATGAGAGCTTAAATTACTCACAATTTTTCATATGTTTTCTTTGGCTATTTAATTTAAAATACTATGGAACCATTTATTAAAATGTGTTTTCCAAAAAGCAGAATTATGGCAAAGGAGAACAATAACTTTTTCAATAACAGTTTCTGTTTTAATTCAAATACTTTAACAATTAAAAATAAGAAGAAAAGGGTGGGGTTTTTTTCCAGTGCCGTTGTAGCTGTTAAATTATAAAGCTGTATTTCAATGAATAATCCCTTGATATACTATGAAGCCTGGACAGTTTTAGAGATGGCATGTTTTTTCCATGGCATATGTCAAACCTGCCTGCTGAGCTGGGTCCAGTTATTCATGGGCAGGACACTGGATCTACCCACTCTCAGGTAAAAGGGCTACTTACCTAATGAAAACGAAGTTAAAGATTTCCTTTAACATTAAATGATCTTTTTAGAGTGGCACCAAGACACCCCTGTATTGTGGTAAAGAAGTTTGCATTTTCAACATATCTGCTGGATGGTTCGCTGTGTCCCTGCGTGTTTAATCCAACACAGCTTCACAAGAATACTAGGAGGAACTAAGATAGAGCAGAAGACCTTATTCAGGTCCCTCACTCCGGAGTGAATTTTACTCTTGTTAAACTCTTGTAAATGCTGGAAAACATTTTGGCTAAAGAAAATTCTGCAATTTAGTTTAGTTTTGAGTATTATATGCTTAAAATTATTTGCACACTTAAGTATGACATCTCAGCAGATTGCAAGATCCAACCTACATACTGGACTTTTTAGAAAGCACTTCCACAAAGTTAATTTGCAATAGTGAGGCATTTGTCTCTTGTTTTTCTGGTCTTAAGACCTCTAAATTTATCAGCCAAATTTGACTATACTGCCACTGTAGCTGTAATCTAAACAAGATTATGCTCATTAAGCAGATAGCATAATTCTTTTGGCTGGAATTCCACCATAAGCAGTGGAATTTGTTTTCTGGAAAAAGAGGGAAAGTGATCTAATAATTCAGTTGACAGCAGAGAGAAACTGTGAACCTGAGTACAGATCTAGACTTGCTCACAAGTGATTGTCTGGGAACAGCACTAGTAATAACCTTCAGGTGTCTGCTGACATCAAAAAGGAGACATATGGTCCTTAGATGCACATACAGCACTTGCATTAGCTGGGTGGGTGGGCCTTTGTACTTACTGTCACAGAAAAAATCAAGTGCATATGTGACATTTAAAGGTGTAAAGGATATGAAGATGGAGGTGCTAGCAAAGATCTAATGTGTTAGTATCATGAAGGAAGTCAATAATTTGTCTGCTTTAAATGCATTATTCCTTTTCTTCAAGTGCAAAAGAATCAAGGTTCTCAGAATAAATTCTTATTTCAATTAGAGAACAGGGGTAAGTAACTACAGAAACTGGAAAGCTGAAAATCTCTTTTGCTCATTTAGAACATCCCCTGTCAGTGCAGGACTCTGCTCCATAGTTTGTTATCTAGTGCCTTGGAATCATACCATCATAATTTAGGTTGGAAGGGACCTTCAGGGTTTATCTAGTTCAACTCCCTGCTCAAAACAGGTCTAATCAGATAAGGTTGATCAGGGCCACATCCAGGGGAGTCCTGAACATGTCCAAAGATGGAGATTCTACAACTTATCCGGGCAACCTGTTCCAGTGTTTGACCACCCTCATGGTATTTTTTTCACCTTTTATCTGGAATATGGAATTTACCATGTTGCAACTTGTGTCTGTTGCCTCTTGCGCTATCACTGTGAACCTCTGAGAAGAGGCTAGTTCCATCTTCCAATCCTATCCTGCAGTCAGGTCGTTGTAGGCAGCAACAAAGTCTCCTCTTAGCATTCTCTTCTCCAAGCTGAAGACGTCCAGCTCTCTCAGCTTCTTCATGTGCATCATGTTCTCCAGCCCCTGACCGTTTTGGAGGCCTTCTGATTGACTCTCTCCCGTATGTCGATGTTGTTCTTGTACTGGAGGGAGCCCAAAACTGGACACAGTACTCAGATGAAGTCTCACGGAAGATCACTTCCCTGGCCCTCTTGTTAATACAGCTCAAGACGCTGTTGGCTGCCTTTGCTGCGAGGGCACGCTGCTGACTCGTTTTCGAATTGTCCACTAGGACGCCCAGGTCCTTTTCTGCAGAGCTGCTTCCAAACAGCTCCCAGCCTGTATTGTTGCATGGGGCTGTTCCTTCCCAGATGCAAGATCTTGGAATTGCTCTTGTTGGACTCCAGGAAATTCACATCAGCCTGTTTCTCCAGACTCTGGAGCTCCCTCTGAATAGCAGCCCTGCCCTCCAGCTGAATTCAGCTTTTGAAATGCAATGTAAAAAGAATGTAAAAGCTAGAGAGCCATGGGGGGAAAGAAGTCCTGTGCATCAGAAGCCTCTCAAGGGAAATGAGAGAACCAGATGGAGATGATAGTTTCATTTACCTCTAGATGTTACTTGTAATGGGAAAGAAACATTACAGAAATTATTAGTTGGCTAAGCGTTCTTCTATCAGCAGTAAGAAGTTGGTTTAATCTTCTGTTGTACCATCTTGAAAAAACCCCCCTGTGCTGACTTCTTAAGATGTGTTGGCAACTTGCCTTATGATATTGGCATTGTATGATATTATATTTGTATTTGCTTCCCACAATATTTCAATTCTGTATCTGTTTTGATTTGATGACAGGCACAGTTCTAAGTCACAAACTAAAATGGAGTTTTTATTATACAGTTCTGTTTCCCCCAGAGGAGATGCCTGGGAACACTCACGGACCGAAATGTGCAGTACACTGCAGCTCGTCTAGTTAAACTTATTTTGTGCTGAAATCGTCTTAGAAGAAGGAAGATGCTGAAAGCCAAGGAGGCCATCTGGATTTATCTAATTCTTCAGATTTTTTTGTTGCATAAAAAGCATGTATTAAGACAAGCCATCCAAACAATTGCATTGCTAATGGAACCATATTCCTAATTCTTTGGCTTAGTAGGTTCCATAAATCTTTAAAGCTTTTAGGGTGTATAACCTTTCATGGTTTGTCACCACTTCCGTCAGGATGGTGTTCCCTTTGCAAAATATGTAACCTAGGGCTCCACATAAACCATTTGTGGTCATGGAATGGGTCTTCGGAACAAACTTCCAAGATAGATTAAGCAAATTCGTCCTCTGGCTGCTTTTAGAAATTCTGCAAGTTTTCACACCCGTTTTAGAAATCAGCCCTCTCACAGATCCAGGTATCTTTTTTACATGAACAAATAAAAACCTATAGAACAGTCAAATCAAGCTAACAAAACACCCCACACAGCCTTCACCACAGAAAATAACACAGGAGGAAACCTCTGTCAGGTCCACCAGAGACTGTTATTGATTTATGTGTAGGATGTTCAGATGCTCCTGTTAATGCATGGCACTACTAAGCCACAAATTATTCAAGGAGCTATTTTTTCCAGTACACACCGAATACCACTAATGATTAGTGATCTTAGGAATGTGCTCTCTGTAGTACAGAAAGGATGTTATTGTAGTGATATAACCACTTCACATGACCTGTGGCATGAACTTCTGTGCCTGGTGAATGGAAGACAACGCATATAAATTACTTTTGATTCATCTTCCATTACACGTTGCAGGATGTCTTGGTGACTATTACATCTTACAAGCTGACTTAAAACAGCCTCATCTGAGATATCCTTCCATTGACTTTGCTTTCATTGGGGTCTCTTCGTGTGTTGCTAAAAAGGTTTCAAAAGGAGAAAAATATGAAATGTATTAAAATCCTCATGTTTAACATTCCCTAAATATATGAGAAGCCACCTCCTGGCAGCTCCGGCACAACTGTGGGCCAAACAAGTAAAAAGCGTGCATCAAAATTTTGCTCTCTTTAGTCTGCGCAACCAAACCTATTCTGGCTTCTTCCATGATTTGGCACAAGTGGTGTGGTTGATATGCTCAAGGAAGGAGAGAGAACACTCTGCGTGTTTGTTTGTTAAAAAAAGCCTTAATAAGCCATAGACTTGGACGTAGTTCAGTTTTCAGCATCTTAACAAGGAACAGTAATGTTAAAACAATTAGGAGACATCCTCTGAATAGTTCTTCAGGCAACTCTGCGGACGGGGTGAGACTGACTCCTGAGATGCTCTTCCTGCCATTTTGGTGTGGTCAGCGCTGGACACCACTGGCCAGGGAAGCAGCATCTGTTTCACAGAGCTGTTTGGGAGAGGAAATGGAGAACAGATTCTCCCTTAAGACACTTCTTACAGTGGAACCACCGGCGCTGGACACCACTGGGACATGGGGTTGACTTGCAACAGCCCTTCCACAGCAGAAAGGATGAACCACTGGCAGAGGCCAATCTTTGGAAGCTGTGGAGTCCCAAATCCCCTCTGCCTTGCGGTGAGAGTGAGTGTGGTCACTGGAGGGCTGAGAAGGTTTTCATTCTGAAGCTGAAAGAAACGTGAAATGATGTCCTGGAGGGTGCCGCTCCCACCCTTCCTCTCGTCCCTCCAACCTTGCCGGGAGGACGCAAGGCTGGGACTGCGGCTGTGGAAGCATGGACATGATGACGTTTCATTAGCATCTGAAGAATATGTGCATTTAATTTACCACTGAAAAGACATGTAATGAGGTGCTCCTTTCCGTGATGATGAAGATGGCATTACGAACGTGATTCTTTGATCCTACCTGTGCTTAGGGTGCTTTTCCCCCAAAAAATATGCTTTCTTGACAACCATGGGGAACTAATTTGGTACAGTAACAGCTACCGTAAGCCTCTCCAGATGTGCTATTTTGCCTTCTTGTTGTGATTTTAAAACTTGAAAGTTACTTTTTTTTAACAAGTATTTATTCCCCGTGGGTGAATTTAGCCTCCGAAAGCAAGCCTCTCTGATTACACACTGCAAATGTCAAAAGCTAGATGACAATAACTAGAATTGCAATGTCTTGGGACTTGGTGGCCAATCCCTTGCGTTTGTAGAGCTGAATCGGCATTTCTGTGTGGAGATCTACGCCGCCAGTTTATCCTCTCCTGTTAACAACAGCAATACTGGTGTTTCCAAGGAGTTTTGTTTGTCCAGGCAATTTTGCCTCACTCAATCTCTACTTTGGAGAAAAGCGAAACATTCTTGGGCAAGTCGTAAAGGAGGTCGGAGGTGGAATCAGGAGGAAATTTAGGGGTTGACTCCCAGGGGCTCCGTTTGGGGCCGTTAACCCCGAGCAGGCCGCCCCGGAGGCGCCGCCCGCCCGCCCTCCCCGCGCACCCCCGCAGCGCCCCGGGCGCGGCCGGGGCC